AAAACCGGCCACGAGAGATCATCCACCTTGCAGTTGCCGAAAGCTACAAATCACGGACCCAGTTTACGGGTTCCGTGTTCCGTTCACGTAAAACTTTTACGTGAACTGGTGTAAAACTCCGTGAATAACCGCGGCACTAGGCAATAGCCGTGAAATATGTTTTTCATATCGCGGGTGAAACTCCAGTGATATAGCTGATTCAGCGAAATCGATTAGTGTTTGGTGAGGAGGAAGAGATATGACGTATATGTTAGATGTGGGGATTGAACCGGGTATCATTCGGTTTATATTTAGACATATTAACCATTCGGCCAAAAATGTTCTTATGATGTATATACGACTGTTAGGATAAGATAACTCCACAACTTGTGGAGTATTACTAACCAATTATTAATAACTCTTGTATAGGATAAGAATTATTAATAACTGGTTCATAGCTTATGACCAATACGTTATGAAGTATACGCTAGGCTAGCGAGGGAGACAAGTAACACAATCATCTGAGAGTAGATAAGACACTTTCGTACAACATACCCTCACAACGGCTTTAGTCCTCGCATTTTTCTCGGCTTGGAACTGAGCTCAGAAGTTTCCGCAGAATTTCACGAAAGCTCACAAGCGCGACTTTGGTAGAAGTGTACAGAAACCATTAAAAAATCTTCCAAAATTTCCTCCCAGAATTTTCATACTCTCACCAACACACGTAGTTGATCATTTGCAGATTTTGTGATGTGGTTAATCTTCAAGACGATATCTATTATGGTATGCCTTTTTTTCTCTTTAGATTGATATTTTTCTGAAGTATTGGCAATCAGTTCGTGAAGAAAAAGAAGATGAATTTGGTCGACCCGCGTTACCAACAATTTCTCTAAATTGTGAAATATTCGATTCTTCAGGGAAGGCCATTGTAATTTTCCAGAGTTGTCACTAAAATTTTAATGATTTTTTCCCTGCAGAATACCGTAAATAAAATCGAACCGCATTTTCACAAGTCGTCGATTCGCCTGAAGGACCTGCCGGGAACAAGTCAATCCATTTTAAGTTGCGAATTGCATAGGCTGCCAGATAAGGTCAAAGGCCTGGTAGTCTCTGCTACGTGCTCGGATGTGGGTGTAAAAAGCGCGCGCCCTGGTGATCGATTATGTTTTTCAGCAATATAAGTTAAGGCATTTTAGGAGTATTGGATTGCAACCGAAAGGGTGATGGTGGAGGTCGCGGGTTCGATCCCCGGTGAGGGCATTTTTTTAGATATAATGTTGACCTTGCTGGACTGGTAACTGAAGCGAAGACAGTTGGAGGGGAAAATTGTGGTATGTCAATATGCGATGGGAATAGTAGCTCCGGTGTGGCCCTGTTGGTGATGATTAAACTCAAGGTTGGATTAGAAGTAAGAAAAATGTCATGTGCCGGGATAGAACCGGAGACCTTGTATTTTAGGGAGAACGATGGTTTGGAGTTAAGATTAATAAGAATGTCAGTGGACGAATGCCGAGAGATATGAGACCGGTGAGAGGCGGCTTCTTATATACGACGCATATAGTTACTCGCCAAGAAATTATGGAAATAAACAGTGGAGTAAAAATTGGAAAATATGCTGTACTGGAGTTTCACTCGTTTTACGCGAAGTGGCGTCGTAATACTCTGTGAAAAACGCGATATTTGTGGTGATATGCAGTAGTCGTGAAATATGTTTTTTCACTAGTGTTTTTTCGCACATCACTAGGGTGGTGAAACCTGATTATTGTCGAGTTTTATATTCTCGGGAAGGATCCTCCACATGCCCCCTCCAACAGGTCATTAGTCAAATCTTCACATCTACCAAGGACAAGGTTCGCAACGGCAAGTTTAGGAAGGACCCGAAGAGCGGGTGCATTGACATCGAGACGGCATTCGATGAATGCGAGGTGCATTTCCGATCGGAACAGCGAGCAAAGGAGACGTTTAAGAAGCATTTCGATGCATTAACGGATAGATATAAAAAGGTGGGGACAGTCTTGGCTGGCTTACTTGATGATTTTTATATTTTTGCCAGAAAAAATTTCTGGTGATCATTCTTTTAATAATGGGGTTTCACCTGTTTTACGTGACGTGGCGTCGTAAAACTCGGTGAAAAACGCGATATTCGCGGTGATATGCAGTAGTCGTGAGATATGCTTTTCACTAGTGTTTTTCTTCACATCACGGCAGAACCATTTCATAGTGGCAATCCTTTCTACGAATATGAAAAATTTAAGTGAAGATAATCTGTAAAGTGCGAATAAATAATTTATTAAAACTTTATTGTGAAAAAAAATTCCTAATCTTTCCATGAAAAATTTCATGTCGCAATTTTACCAATGCAGATTGAACTTTTTGTGCGGCGGGTCCCAACGTGGTTAGGTTTCCACGCAGCTTATGATGTGACCGATTTATGGTATGAAATAATTTTCAGAAATTAATGGCATCTGGAGAGACTCCAGAGAAAGCAGCAAGCTCGGCTCAGAAGTACGCGGCACTTCAACTGAAGCAAACAAAGGGAAAACAATTTCAAATTTTGTGGAAAAATAAAACTATGGAGAATATCAAAAAAGGAATGCATCCAGTGAGTTTATGAAATATTCGGATTGTTTTTAGAAATGTGAATATTCCAATATATGCCTCGGGAAATTATTTATCCGTTGGTGATTTTTAATGGTTATGATCTCGAAAACAATCGCTTTTGTCGATAATTTCCTTGAAAATTTCATCAGTTCAATTTCCGCGTACAGTATTTCGAGATGAAATTAATTTTCCACCGATGAGTTTAGTTTTTCGATAATTTGGATGTTGCATGTGCTTTATCATTGCGCGCGTCCTTGGCTGAATAGACTTCAGCTCGGTCGGGTAGAAGATGTTTTTTTGGTATTTTATCAGAGCTTCGGGTGAAATGTTAACGGAAAATGTAAAATCTTTACCAGATGAGTGCAATAATTTGACTTGCCGACTTTATATAAGACGAACTCATTGAAATAATTTCGTGGCGAGTGACGGAATCTTATTGCGTGATCAGATGAAAGCCCAATTATTAGCTAAGAAAGCAGCAATGGACGAAGCGATGTTTCTCGGTGAGGCCTGGGGTTCGATTCTCACGGATGGTTTAATCGTCGTCATTATTTGGTAAGGTCGGAAGGAGGAAGTGATGGAACAAGTAAGACGAGAAGCGGAAGAGGAAAGGCTTAATCTGGAGTTGGCCAATAAAGCTGCTAAGGAAAGATATGATTCGACCTGGGGTGGAAAAGTGAGTACAATCGAAAGAGTATTTCCACATAATGCAGTTTCGCAATATACATAGATTGGTACCGTCCGGACTCCGGATGGTCTTCGCTGGAGTTTCACCACCCTAGTGATACGAGAAACACTAGTGAAAGATATACTCCACGACTACTGCATATCACCGTAAATATCGCGTTTTTCACCTAGTTTTACGACGCCACTTCACGTAAAACGGGTAGTTGTGAAACTCCACCGAATCAGAAGTTTGTTACGACTATAGTTATTATGATGGTGTGTTTGAGAATGATTCTGGAGCGAGCGATGCAATTCTGTGTGTTCGTTAGTTCAATCATTTCTCAAGAATTAAATCCGTTGAACTTCCGAGACACATACCATTCGGGAGAGCGCAGCCCGTGCGTATCATAGAAAGTATGGGATGCTTCTCAACTTCAGCCATGTTGTTCACCGTGATGATGTGCAACAGAGAATGCGAGAAAAAGCACGAGCCGGGAATCGAACCGGCGACCGTTACAAACTATCTTCGTCTCGAAGGCGTAGTTGTTACACTCGTGAAATCATAATATGAGAAGTATAACTCTACTGTTCATTCAAGATGGTATTTTCTGTAGGTGAGTAATTTATACGGAAGTTGGTTCGGTGGGAGTAATGACAATTATGTGGAGACGGTTGAAGAGGTAGAGGAAGGTGGCAAGAAAAAGAGGAGGAAGAAAAAAGGACAATCCGGCTCGTGGTTTTGATAATGCCCATGGCATGTTATTAAGTATGCTGATGTTGTAACGTAATTCCTTGAGTTAGTGTGGGGTGAGAGGATAATAATTATTGTGATATAAAAACAGGATGAATTCTTCTAGAAGGCAAAGGTGGCTCTAGGATATTCAACTAAGACAGATTGTGAGGAGTGAGACCCGGAAATTTTCTCAGAGGTTATTCGCAGAAGTTGTGTTGGTCTCGCGGCACGGCATCACTCTCCAGATTCGGATGGGTCGCGGTGTCACGACAACGGGAAATGTTGATTCGTCCGACTCGAATCTTTTCAAAAACTTTTTACGTTTCACCGCACAGTTTGTAGTGTAGCTTGCATCAAAGTTGCTGTTGAGTTTTCGAATGGAGGAGAGCAAAGTCAAACATCTCGAGTGAGTTCACTCAGTTGTGACAGGCTGTATCATCTAAATTCTTGTCATATGGGTTAGAGCTATCTGACTACCCTATTCGAAACGTTTCAGCTGAAACTTTTGATGGCTTTCCACTGAAAACCCCATTTAAATTTCATAACTTTTGCGATGTACCCCATAATGGATCAAGTTGATCCGATCAACACATTCCCCTAGCCACAAAACTTGAATGAGGCCCCTTGGCAAGTGATTTTATAACTCTTATGACTAGCGGATGTGTTGTATTATACAAGCTGTATACTCGCGAGGCGTATTCCATATTGTAATTACGATCCCTAGTTGAACTTATGTCCTGGAATCTTACTTCGTTATTTGTTGTGGTTCTCAGGTGGTTCGATGCTGTACTGTTCAGCCAGCTAGTTTCGAAATTAAGTGGCTATTGACGACAGACTGTCGCACAACCCAACATCGCTACGTTCGCTATGATAACCATTCGTATCGAATAATGACCAAATGGACCAGAGATCAAGTACGTTAGATACTTGAAAGTTCCGAGCAGGAACGACCAAATACACGAACTTCTCCCGAAAAAATTTTCCCAATAGCTCTCGAAATGCGAACTTCATGCTAACCTTCACAGATTAGAATGAAATCTCCAACACGTCACAGACATAAACTTGTAAGCCGCAACCATTTGGCAATAAGTCTGATGGTGAGTACAAGTGAGACAAGAGCTAATGGATAAATGACGGAGCCGATTGGTTCGACACATCAATATGAAATATGATCGGATCAGAAATGTCAAAATGTTTCCATAGGTAGCACATGAATTGCTACTGAGCTACAGCAAAGAGTACGGAAGGGGACTGGCCGAGTGAAGTCCTGCAATGCCACTCATCATCGGCATCGAAGTATCATTCGGTCGTTCCCGAACCAACTCACAAAGATAAACATTAGCTTAAGCGGGGCACTCCCAATTTTTTCTATCCTTATACAGAGCCCTAGCACCTGGTGAAGGTAGCACCATGTACAAGTACTTCAAATCGAGGGTTATGGAGGGCTGTAGGGCATATGGGTTGAGGTAGCCCTTGGAGTCTTCCAAAAGTTTGTCACACTCAGGCCCCTCGAAAACAACTCGAAGATAACTCTCCTTCTTCCTCGGTATGAAGTGATACTTACATGTGTAAACTTTCTTAGGGCCAAGTGGTCTTTTCTGATGGATGAGGATAACTTCGCCAGTGAATTTGAACTCTATGCTGATGATATACTCTCCGTATTGTCCGAACTCATTCTGGCACGGCGTGTAAACACCGTGAAAACCACGAACGCCCATACCGTAGATGATCATCAGACTGGTGATGAGATGCAGAACTCCCATGTTACAGATAGTTAACTGAGCGCCAAATTGAGTCCACGACGATCCCCACGGCTCGTGGGCCAGTGGCCCACGACTCATGGCGAGGACTCTTCATTGAGGAGAACAAGTCATTGACTCCATTGGAGTTCCATTAGCAAGATGCATAGAACAGTTTCACGCAAGCTGTTCCACGCGACTCGCGAGACTCGAGCTGTTTCACGTTCAGTTTTCACTCCGAAAAAGTACTCCTCACTGACGGCGCTGGTCACTGATCTATACTGCTCATAGGCTGCTCAAATCAACACACTAGAAGTTCACAGTGAACCGTTCATTTAGTAGCGTTCTACTTGAGACTAACTCGATGGGTGCATTGAAAAGCCAAACCAACAGCTCAATAACCAGCCCCTGGGTCGTTTAGATCGTCTCTGCATCTGATTGCGTGGAAGTCCATGATAAGGTTCGTACATCCGATGATTGTTCTACGGTGAGTCCGGTAGGGTCTTGTGGAGCTGATGATTAGATCTTGGCGGTATCGATCAACCACTGTGGGAAAACACACATACAGGAGGAGTTTGCTTTCCTTTCGGACACAGTCAGCATTCGTTTACAATGAGAGTTTCGAATCGTGACGGCCACCCCGTGACCCACCCAAAAGACGTCCCATAAATACTCCACGTCACGTCACCAACTTGGTGACGTGACGTGGAGTCACGTGATCGGTGATGACCGTAAGCTCGGCTTTTTACGAACTACCTTTTCCAACCAATAAAACCCTACTTGTGCCATGACTGTCAGAGCTGACGACGACTACAACTTAACAAAAAGAAACGGTAAATTTCCGCCCCTATGTGTTGAAATGGTATATCTTTAATGAGGATTCTTCATTCAATACAAATATATCACTGGGATCGAAATCTGGATTCGGGTCAGCAGCTGAAGTTGTCTGGACATCTAGAAAATGCTGGCGATAACTAGCAGGGTACTCGAGCGGAGGGCCAGCAGGGTAACTCCAGACAACTTCCCAAACTAACACGATTAGCAGGCCGGATATCAGGGCGACCGACTGGTTTGTATGATCTCATGCGAGGCGACGACGATGCTCAGCTCACTGGAGGAACTCACGGAAAGTATATCATGGTGATTATGGCTAATGTGTTCGAGGAATGTGTTCGGCATTGCAATGCTATAGGCGTGGAAGAGAAGGACATTTTGCTAGACTGTAAGTTCACCGATAGAGGTTGGTCCAGATGGCCGGCAGAGAGCCGAGTTTCTCACGCTGGCTGGAACCAGCAACCTATCGATAGGAGTCCTATCATAGGACTGGAATCTCTCTAAAGCCAGCTAGCGAGCCTTGGTGCTCGACTGGCTCGGCAGAGAGCAGTCAAGGACCAGTATCTCAGAGCACGTGGCCGCCTAGAAGCTTCTATGATCAAGCTTCCTTTGATGAGTCACAATGGGTAACCAATAGAGATTTCTTCTCAAACCAGACCTCAAAAGGTCGTGGTAAGGGGCGTAAAGGAGGAAAGGGCAAGGCCAAGGGGTACGGTTATCGGCAGGGTATTGTCCAGAGAGGACAGGCTCCGAGGAAAAGATATGAAGTGAGTCTGCTGGAGTCAAATCGCAGACAGCATGATGACCAAAGTTCGCCTAATATTTCGGTGCACCGACGAGATAAGGAGGAGAAAGCAGAGGATGCTGCTCACTCCATGATCGATCCTCGAGAGAAGGACGACTTCCTTGCCATGCCCCTATATGTGAATGCCGGTGATATTGGACAAGATGTATCGAGACGCCAAATCCTGGCCACTTCCATATCACCAAGGCATGACTTGCCAGGTGTGAGAACACTCATCGACACCTGTTGCAGTATAAGTCTGGTGAGTCGAGAGCATGCTAACTATTTACAATCGTTGGGCTATCGTTGCGGTAAGGTGGCATCTCCCATCGAAGTCGGTATGGCATCTGAAGAAGCGACCTTCACAACGTCACTAGTACAAGAAGTACCAATGTGTTTCGATGGTGAGAAAGATCATTCTGTGCGGATGGAATGTCCTGTGATTGATGGACTCCAGTGGCCCTTGATACTGGGCATCAACCACCTTACTCTGCTCAATGCTCGTATTAACTGTGTTGATCGAATTGTTCAAATCGACCACAATCACTGGCGTACTGTGCTTGACTGTACGGAGAGTACATCAGGCTCTCGCAGCGGCTTGTTTATGAATACTGCTGACCTCGTCCGTTGTAATTTCTCCACTCTCCTCCAGCCAGGCTGGACCAGCCTGGGCTCAATGAAGTAAATGTGTGCTTTTCACAACAGCATGTATCACTACCGAGCTGTACTACTATTGCAAGCACTACGACTATATGATAAGCACTACGACTATTGCAAGCACTACTGCTATGGCAAGCGCTACGACTATATGATGAGCACTACGATTATATGATAAGCACTACTACTACTACTATATGATAAGCACTACTACTATGGCAAGCACTACTGCGACACTTGGCAGCACTTTCTCTTATAATTCAACACATCAATCCCTCTCGCATGTTTCAATAGAGCCGATCCGAACATTGATCCACGGCGCGAACTCAGAACTCGGCACTTGTGCATGGAGAGCGAAGAATTATCTATTCCAAATCCCCGACTACACGGCTACGTGTGACATCAGATCTTCGCGTTCGTAGAAAATGGCGATTGGGATACAAACATTAAGTGGACAATCCATCCAACGAGGGAAAGGCCAGAAAAATAGACGAAAGTTCACGAAACAAGTACGTGGATGGCTCTGTCGTCAGAAAATGAAGTCGAAATGGGAAAATTATACCGTCCCTCTTCCAAGCATCTTATCAACAGCCGCCGCAGCATTCACGCGGCCGAAGGAGAGAGTCTTTTCTCCTTTATTATCCTTGACACCTTTGGTGGCCGTATCCATGATGACACTTTTGATGTAAGCAGGAGTCAGCTTAGTCTTCAGTGAAGGCTCAAGGCTGTAGAGCATCCCAGCTATACCCGCTACGATAGCGGCGGCACCCGAAGTGCCCGTACCCCTGCTGTACCCCTCATTAAGATTTGTTTCAGCTAAATTGTAACCTGGAGCGGCAATGTCAACAGCTGAGCCAAAATTGCTTTCGTCATCAAGCTGCATTTTGGTACCATTGGTGGCTGCAACACAGAAGATTCCTCCACCGTGTAGTCCCCGGCGGGAACAAGGATAGTATTCGGTCTTGTCCATGTCCAGATGCCTATTCCCTGCAGATATCACAACGAGCATGCCAGCTACAGCAGCTCTCCGAATTATCTGCATCAGCAATGGGACGGGTGCTGTGAACCCATCCGTTAACAGGACCACTTTAACATCACCTTTCTTCTCACGGATGAGATATTCGAAAGCCTTAGTGTCATTGACGTTAGTCGGTATCTCACCCCTGAATATGGGCAGTATGCTTACACCGTCCAGAATACCCGCAATACCGATCTTGTTATTTCTGATAGCACCAATGATGCCAGCCATGTTGGTTCCATGCGGTCCTCGAGGTCTGGTATCGCTATTATCATCAACGATGTTGTAGCCCTCGATGACGACGCCCTCCAAATCAGGATGACTTGCTTCGATTCCATTGTCTATAGTCGCGATGGTCACGTGTGTTCTCTTCGGAGCAGAGTCTACGATGCCCCAAGCCTTCGGTACAGAGATGGCCTCAAGATAATCCTTCTGCATATAATAGAATTGGTCGTTGGGATCGCCGCCGTTCATAGGACCGAGCCCGCGGATATGTTCATTCCCACCCACCCTAGCCTTGACATGAACATAGTCGCACGAGAAGAACCAGAATAATGTTACGAGAGGCTTCATTGTGACTCACAATGAACGAACACGCAACGAACGCGCAAAGAACAACTCATTGTAGTGCCTCACAATTTGTGAGGCACTAGAATGAGTTGTTCGTTGCGCCGAAGTGTACGCGTAAACTACCCCGAATGACGGATCATTCGTGTTGGCACGTACCTTACGGGTCACTCTCTTAGTAGTAACACCCGCACTGGTTGACTCAACAACACTTGGGATAGCCATAATAGGGAAACCCATAGACGCTGAGATTGGGAGAGGCATACGTGAAACTGGCGCCCGCAGAATTAAGATACACTGCGAGACCAGATTCACGTATGCAGACCCGGACGGTTACACGAGAGGATGAAAGCCCGACCGCATTCCAAGTTGAAATTTTCAACCCCGAAATGTAACCACTCCAGGTCCCCCAGCGTCAAAAAAGGGACGGGAAGGGAAGACGTTTAATCAACACACATAAGATGGCGGACATCTCCCGATCACGCTGCGTTTAGCCTACTAGCCAACCGCAAGTAGTGCCGAACGCACAATTAATTGGCGCACACCATTGGCACACACTTTTTCAATTATGTCTTCCAAGAGAGTACCTCAGCTGAGTGTTTCCCCTCCAAGAAATCCTAGTGTATTTCTCTACGACGGAAACCCATAGACGCTGAGGTTGGGAGAGGCATACATGAAACTGGCGCCCGCAAAATGAAGATTCATTGCGAGACCAGATTCACGTATGCGGACCCAGACGGTTACACGAGAGGATGAAAACCCAACCGCATTTCAACCCCGAAATGTAACCACTCCTGCCCCAACTCGACAACCTAAACGTCAGACACGGTACTCAGGAAGCAAAGACAAATAATCAACCACATTCCCATCAGGGAGACTGAAATATATTACACGTTGAACTGGTATTCAAGTCATAGCCAGGATCTAGCCACCACTAGAGGCAAGTTGTTACTCTCAATAATTATTCGAGCCTAGTGCGCCTTATTAGGGAGCGTTATAGAAGTGCTGTATGATGAGGCACACTACTGGCTAGTAGTGCTAGACGACCCGGGTCCTGGAGACCATACTCGCCGGATTAATCACTAATCACCGGTAAATAAGAAATCTAGCTATGAGTAAATAAACAATTGGTTACCCTTGTGGATTCATCCAACCAAAAGGCGCGAAACAATCCATGAATGGATTACTATGATTGACAGACGATGGGAAATACGTTAACCGGAAATCATCGGCTGGCCTCCCTCTAGGAGGCACCCAGGTTGAAGACCTGCTTCCCCAATCCAGCAGATGCAGACCGGTAAGTGCGCCATTGAGATGATAACATCAACACTGCACCCAATAACACCATCGAAACACAGCTACCTCATGACATCTCGTCATTATTAATGACTCATCGAAATAGTGCTCTTATCTACACGCTGACAGATCCGATCTGTCAGATCGTTACTGATAAGGACTGACGCGAGAGATGCAAACCGCCAGCACCTATCGCAGTGATCTCTTCCGTACGCAGACATAATACAACGGGAGGAAGACCAACGTCCATGATCTATCAAATCAGACAGCAAAACTCCAGCATGCAGCAACAAGTTTGTTCCGGTCCATCTCATAGAATGAGACGTTCCGCGACCCTCTCAGCCAGAAGCTCGTTGTATAAGGTCTCGCAAGTCCAAGTCGAGTTCTTTGTATGAAGTTCCGAACAGAGAACCACCGTGATCTTGAGTCGAGGAGCACCACCCCTGCAATCTATGGAGAGGGTACACCACTTCTTTGCATGAATCTAGGCTCGGGCTGCAGCAACCTATCGTGGCAACGGGACGTCGGCGACGTCCCGTCGCCACCACTCGAATTTCTTGCCTTGTAAGGGTGCGGGCCTTGATTGGATCCCTCCAACCTAGACAACGGCCTGCTCCTTGTAAAGCCAAACGTACTAATTCTTTATCTTGGACCGAAACATCCCCTGCATGCCTCCTATTAGAGCATTGGAGTTTTCCCACATAGTCTATTATTGTCTCTGCCTTGACTCTCCCTCCACGAGTCAGTGCTGAAATGTATACAACCAGGCTGTGACCCGTCAGAGGCCAAGGCTCGTTCAGCCTGAACGAGCATTGGCCGGTGTTAAGAAGATCTTTCGACTATTCCCTGAGATCGTTGCTCAGAGTGGTAAGCAATCCCGCTGGTTCTCTCTTCTTGGTCGCTCTATCCGTCGCTTGAACGATAGACCGTTTTTGGGTTCTACACCGTTTGAGATATTTTATGGAAGGTCTCGTAATCATGAAGAGAAGCTCCGCTACGATGGTATCACTCGGAGTGATTCACTCCAACTGGTAGTCCTGCTTTGGCTGATTTGAATGACCAGAGACGAGCAGTTCGGGAAGATTTTGAGCAACAACGTGAAAGCCGTCATCCTGATCGCTCTTATCGATCCCGCTCACTCAAGTTGAAGCCTGATCAACGTGTGGTGATCTATCGCTCAACTACTAAACCTGGTCATACTGGTGGTACTGTTAAGAACGTGGTCTATAAGGTGTTGTATCAGAATGGAGTTGATGTCTGTCTCCGTCTCATTAGTGATCAGTCCTTATCGAATCTTCCAGGAGAAGGTCCGAGGGATACCGTAGAGCATGTAAAGAATCTTCGCCCTTATTATGCTTGAGCGGTATCAAGCTCATGGCGAAGAGGGGGTCGAGTTGTAATGTGAAGATGCGCTCTAATTGTGTAATTGTATCTTTTTATCCTTAGCTACGTAGCGAGCTAAAGGATCGCTTATTGGGTGAGAGTCAAGAATACGTGTTGTTACTTTTCCTTATGCCCACTACCTTGCGTTCCCCCAGTAAAACAGAAACCGACCCTGACATCTGTAGCTCCTACGGAGGAGGAGGATGTAGTGCATAATGCACTGTGCATTTCCTGCATCGTTTTGCGCTTGGTTTGTTATGAAAGTAAAGCGTGAACTCCACAGTGTGAAGGTTTCGTTTGGGTATCCATACGACCGCCAAGTGGTTGTAAATTTGCACGAACTGCGTGAGTACACAAATTGTCTAACTGCAAGAAGTGTAAGAAAATGTGATGAAATTACGCACGATGTAGATTTAGGAATGGACTGAGAAGAGTAGAGTTAGAGCTGAAAGAGGCGTTTAGAATGAATAAGTAGGAAGTAACGTATTAGCGGGGCATATGCTGAAAATGGGGTAGCATGTAATTAGAAGTTGTGGAAGAAATTTGAAAATGTGAAATATTAACGCACGATTATATCCACCTAGCTTAAAAGTATTAATAATTAATAATGTCGTAATTGAGCGTTTCCGCAGGGCGAGCGAGATACAAAATTACGCTCAGCGGAGCGACGTGGATTGTCACAGAGAATCACCATGCTTCAACGAACCCTATAACGCCAAGTAGGCATCAACAAGTGATGGTTCCTCAAGACAAGGACAATAAAACAAACTGCATTCGCCTACGTTGTTGTCCGAAAACAGTAATGCATAAGACCACTACTGTAAAGGAGATAATATTCTCGCTTACTCCATTTCTTTATATCACAATAGATAACCACGTAATAGTATTTCATCCAAAAAGCAGAAACTAGTCGATGCCCTTCCGACCGAATCGACGATGGGCCGGAGAACAATGTAGTTAACCCAGGTCCTCTGGTAGTTTGAAAAATGCTACCAGAAACGCATTAGAGCGTCGACTTTGTAGAATACAGACCAGTACCGTAGTGGCACGACATATCAGTTGTGACGTGACGGGTACATCAGAATATCACACTTATGATGAACAAAAAATTCAAACAGAATAAATTCTTGAAACCACGAACGCCATACCGTAAACCTCCCAAATCGGGTTTCCGAGGACCCCCAGCTAGGCTCCTTTACATCTCATAAAGAGCTACATCTTTGCACAGCACTTCGCATAATAGCAACTTCAAGCCGAAGCGAATAAGTAAATCCCCACGAGGCGCGTCTTCAACTACCTCCTTCACAGAAGCGCACTCTTAACCAACTCAAGAGCCATCATTTTGAAACGATTATTGGTATGAACCGGCGGAACAATTAACGCCTTGTAAAACGGTATAATGCACCATCTGAACCTCATTATAAAAGCCTCGGAAATCGACAAGGTCTGTAATCTATTTTCTATTATCACTCGTTTTTCTCCTGTTGCTACTACCACTATCCAATTTCTTGAATATGCTACTGAAGAACCCTCCTAAATACCACTGATCAGGATTCCTGCTTGGAAATGTCGGCCCTTCCTTCCGCACTGGAGCTACATCCGAGCTGTTCAACGAAGTAGACATTGGTTTCACGTTAGGGGAGGAGTCCACGTTCTCTCGTGCTGTCGAAGCTGCTTGAGGCTCCGGGGGATTCTCAACGGCAGTCTGAAAAAAAACTATTTCCATTTTCATACAAGACGTTTTTACTCGGGTATAACCTGCCAGAATCAAGTTTCACACATTTTAATTCCAATCCTAAGAACTCCGAGGAATTCTATTCAACACGGCGAATAGTCTACACGTAAAAACCCAGACCCCTTGCTTCGCTCCGCTAAGAAATATTACATTTTCTTCAATTTCTCGTTTCCTCTGATTTTCCTTTATAAAAGGATGCTCTAACACGTCTCTTGCCGAGAGCCTCTTTTTTGGATCCAATTCGAGCATCTTGAAAACCAAATCCTTCGCCTCAGGAGACATATTAGCACATCGATCACCGCGGTATCTAAAAGCATCACGAAAAATACGCGCAATCACTGCGAGAAGTCTTCAAGGACAGAAATTTTCTAGAACCATATCGTTCTGACGACCCAATGGCGTAGGCTGAACTTTTTATACTAGAATTTTACCCGTTTTACGAGAAGTGGCGTAATACCCCATGTGAGAAACGCGATATTCGCGGTGATATGAAATGAATAAGAAAACTCTTGCTGTTAAATTTTTTGATACAATCTTGCGCGTTATCCTGATCCTTCTTCGAGTAAACTACCATCGAATTTGGTCAGCGTGCCCTAACTCAGCCATGGTTCGTGGTCAATCATATAAATGAATATTAGAACTATTCTCATGCTCAGAAGTAGTGATGGAGTTTCACTACCCTAGTGATATGAAAAACACTAGTGAGAAACATATTTCACGACTACTGCATATCACCGTGAATATCGCCACTTCACGTAAAACGGGTAGCCGTGAAACTCCAATGTTCGAGGCTTCGAATTTCTCCCAATCGCCGAATTAGCCAAGTTTTCGTTCTAAACTATCAAAATCAAATACACTGAAGCTTCCTAAGGCAATGGTATGCAATAATAACTGTAGTCATAACAATCATAATTCACCATCCATACTCAACAGAGCTGCCTGCATCGAACTCGGCTAATATCGAGAGCGAAAGTTCTGCATTCAAGTCATACGTGCAAATCCTTCATAGTGCGTCGTCCAATTTAATAAAAAGATATAAAACCCAACGACCCCGTCCATAACTTACTCGCACAAGACTTTATCCAAACCGCATTTCTGCGCCCGATGTAAACTGCCTTTATACTGATCAACATTCTTGCATTCAAACGGCATCTCCCCAGTGAGCATCACAAAAAGGATAACCCCAGCGGAGAATATATCACATTTCTCATCATAGCATCCAGTGAACACTTCAGGGCCACAGTAACTACAACCAAATCGATCAACAGCCTCATACACACTACATATCTCCTCCCCTATGATTACCCTGTCGTGCCAACAACCGACATAGATCTTCGAGGATGAAGAGTATCCGTACTTACCACAGAAGACGACCCCGTTCCTAAGACCAAGCCGAATAGAACACCCTCTCCTATAAGAAGTGTTAGCGCTAAAGCCTCGCAAGGATTTATGTTTCTTGCATACTTAAGATTAGAATTATCAATCCCCTGGACCGGAAAATCGATATCGATAGACCTCATGGAGTCATATCTTAAAATCTTATCAATGCATATGAATCTTATAAAGTCTTCATCCTAAAGTTGATAAAGTCTTATCGATAACATCGATCAAGATTTTATCAATGTGTAGGAATAGAACCCACGCCCTCCCGAACGACAAACAATCACTCTAACCACTACACCAATAAGACATACCAATCCTCTTAGCTGGCTGAGACAACTCAGTAGACTCCCCCTCCAAATGCTTCCTCTCCTCCTCTTCAGCCATAATCTGCTTCTCCAATGCCGAGCCCATTGGCATCGGCGTGCGAGCGTCATACGGATTCCTGCTCGTAGCACTTCCTGAACAACAACAACAACAACAACCACAACATGAAAACTTGGAATGATGATACTCAATTTCAAGCGGAGCGAAGATACCTGCCATAAATGTGCGAGAAGTAGGCTAACATCGCGCGACACCAATGTTGGTGACAATATGAAAATTCCGATAAAATGTCGGGAAATTCTTGCTGATTTTCGCTCACTTCTACCCGAAGTCTTGTGCAGACTTCTATAATTAGTGAGGAAATTCCTCAACTCAGCTGAGGAAAGTGATTACATAAATTTCACCAACACTGCACTGGTGATACGAAAGGCAGCGTAGGGTCGCAAGGTGCACCCAAAGTCCTTCTAGTTTCCCCGGCCCTTCCATCCGACAAATCATCACCACTCCTTTTGATATTCTCTATGAATCAAATAAAACATATTAGTCCACTCCTCGTCATCGCACATAAGATAAGATATGCAAAGATATTCTTCCGCGTGCGCACAAGGCCAGACATCCAACCACTTCACCAAGTAGTCAGAGTCACTACTAAAACTCATTTCCCATTGTTACGCCAATTCTAGATCGCTCCATCATCAATTTCCCGATCCTTTTAAGAGATATACTTCCGCGTGCGCACGCCGAGATCAATATTCCGTCAAAACTCGAGTTTCAGCCGCGATATGAAAGAAAACACTAGCGAACAAGTTATACCACAGTTCACTTCGCGGCAAACGACTGCGTTATCGGTCGCGTACATATACACATCTTGAATTCAAAGCTCTATTCCATCGTAAAATCCGAATCGAACTTCTTTCATCAATCTCCCAATCCACCAACTATGAAAAAGATATTCTTCCAAGTGCGCGCACCGACTCCCCGTAGTACTACCAAAATCAACCAACTTCAACGCCGCGCCAGGAGTGTCGTTCTCAAACATGAAATTCTCCGGTTTTAGATCTCTGTGCATGCCACCCTGCGTATGCAGGAAGTTTGTGGCGCGCGAAATTTGCTCAAGAATGAAAGCAGCCTTTTCTTCCGCTGAAGCCAAAAACAGATTGTCATGACCGCCCGCCACGAAGTTATTCACTTACTGACGGGACGATTACTTATAATGTAATCAAACAGATCGGGACCAGTGTAAAGCTCCATGACGATATACATACGATGCGAATCCTCGAGAAATTGTATATATCTGAGTCGCAAACCACACCACTGAGCAGAGCAGATAAACTTCACTGCGCCACAAAATTACTGCGAGTCGTAGAAAATTCATTCATAATTTTTAATCGATTTCGAACAACTACTTTTTTCAAGATGCGTAGATAAAGAATTCGTAGCAGTCTATCTCAACCTTTCAAATCTCATCTAATTTTCGAGATGCGCGGAAATTCATTTCCACCAAATCACCCTATAACAAAATTCCAAAGATAATATCTCAACACGCACAGCGAAGATTTCTCTCCTCTACGAAACCTACTTAGTAATATTAGGATGTTTAGCCGCTAGGGCTGCGATGAGAAGCTTAGAGCCAAATCGAGCACGCAGAGTGTTACCCGAGGACTTCTCGATCACCTGATTGAAGTAACAACGCCTCACACTTTCATCATCATCCTCATCGACGACGACGACGACCACGACGCTATACAGTCGGGCAGACGGCAAGTTCGAACGAAATACGAGTGGTCATTATTAATGGAGTTTCACCACCCTAGCGATATGAAAAACACTAGTGAAAAATATATTTTACGACTACTGCATATCACCGCGAATATCGCGTTTTTCACAGAGTATTACGCCACTCCACGTAAAACGGGTAGTTGTGAAACTACAATGATGATAATGGTCATCATCATTTTGAAGCTGCGGAAAAACTGTCCATCGCAAATCCAAGTCATACCATATTCCCAACAATAAAAGAACACAATAAGAATACGGTGCTCACCTTTACGCATAGTCCCTGCTCTTGCCTAGCTGGATCGAATTCATAGGCGTCGCAAGAGGCATCATCAGGGGCCGAACATGTCCAGAATTTCTAAAGACAAACACGTAGCGTTACACAGTGTTGAAGGAATTTATATTTTTGCTTTCCTCAGCTGAGTTCAGGATTTCCACAGCTATAGAAGAGAAGTCTACGGAGGAATTCACGTAGAAGTGTAGAGAAACCAAAAACAATTTCCTCCCAGAATTTTCATATCGTGGTTGATCATGTGCAAATTTTTCCTCGCCGATTCACCACATTCCTCGCCGCGAATTCGGTTATAGAACTAATTAAAATCGCGAGTAGGATACGATTTTCCAACTAAAACTAGTCGAAAAATATCGGAAATTTCACAAAATTTCCACAAATTTTTCATCCCCCTTAAAATCACTTTACCGCTGGTTTCTTAGAACGCCCTTCATCCTCTGATCTCCCCTTTGCATAGGCTGATAACTCCGATTGCATCCTCGTACACTCGTACACCGAGCCAAAACTACCACTACCGACTCTGTCGCCAATTTCTATATAATCTTCTATGCTTCTCTCCTGCGGAATGACCACGAAATAGTCATCCCAGTGCCGCTCGATTTCGTCGTATCTGATTAACCTCATACATATCGATTCAGCGTCACCAAATTTTCCAATATATGATATGTTGAAAACATATTTCACTTCGCGGCAAATACATTCAATGTTTTACGTCAAACGAGGTAATTTACCCGGTTTAATTCGCGAAGTTTTTTCAGTCCACCTAATACGCGACTATCGCGCTCTTCACATAGAGTACTACTACGCCACTTCACGTAAAACGGGTGAGACTTCCTCGAACTCATATTACTCTCAATGACAGTGTCATTATGACACTACCGACGATTTCCAATACATGAACGTGGCTAAGGCGAATTCTCCCCATTTTAATACTCACCTAGGATCGCCCTTCGGCCTAGTCAAGCAGAACTGAGCAAAGAAAGATATCGATCTCGGTGACTGTTGCTGCAATTGAAGTTGCATTTCCCGGCGCTCCTGCATAGTCTGTCTCCTCATATCCTCTAGCATAGATGTTGATTTACCCTCCATTTCAGAGCGATCAAATGGGCTCAACTAACACATCACCTTCCCAATAGCTCAACCGGTTATACCCCTATACTCCTACACCACCGATCCAGGTTCGATCCCCACGCTCTCCTTTTTCACTGTAACACATTATCATCATCATTTCCATAAAATCCGCTATAAAAGGCGATAAGACAACAGCATTAGCAGATGGTAATTTTCCACCCCAATTCAATCGATCTTTCAATCGTCTTCGGGAGGGATCGAATCCCCGTATA